GAAATGGGAGGATAGGTGATTCCCCCAAGGACCATCAGGAAGACTTACAGGAAAAGTAAGTAGATGATGAGAGAATGTGGAGATATGTCAAGGACCCAGCAAGAGCTAAGGAAAAAACAGAAAATGGGTTTTTTCCATTGGACACAAAGAGATGTACAAGATCCATTCACCCCAAGGGCGTCAGAAGACTGAGGGGCAGAGGTCAGGGCCAAAGGAGCCTAAATAATATCCCATATCTTTAATGCCTTTGGCCTTTGATTCCAATTTCCCTGATGAGGATATTGGTGACCATGCTGCCCTGGCAGGCATTTTCCAGGCTAAGAGCTTTAACGTTAAGCTGACACTTTGCTGTAGGTGTCGCTCTTGTTGCCAGCAGCCTTTTGATCCAACCAGAGTGTCTGGTCTGTCAATAGGGGACTCCTACTGCATGCATGGAGGAGATGTTCATGGTACATCGTAAAATGACAGTAAATGAAACACAGTTTCAGAACCCCATACACACAAGACAAAGTGAGTCTATTGTACACAGAATAGAGTTGGATCACATGGTTTTTATACATCCTGCCTACCTCTGTCTTTTGACTGGAGAGTTTAATATCTTTACATTTCAAGTAATTACTGATAAGGAGGAACTTACAGCTGTCATTTTTCTATTTGATAAAACAATTTGCCATTTGCCTTATATTATTACTATTCTTTCATCTTTGATTTTTTTTGTAGTGAAGTGTTTAAATTCTTCTTTCATTTCCTTTTGTATATATTCTGTAGCTATTTTTCTCTATGGTTACCATGGGGATTACATTTAGCATCCTAAAGTTATAACACTCTGATTTGAATTTATAACAGCTTAACTTCAGTAATTACATATAAAAACTCTGCTCCTCTACAGCTCTGTCTTCACCCATTTTTTTTTAAGAAAGATTTATTTATTCATGAGAGACAAAGAGAGAGAGGCAGATACATAAGCAGAGGGAGAAGCAGGCTCCATGCGGGAGCCCAATGTGGGACTTAGTTCCAGGACCCTGGGATCACTCCCTGAGCCAAAGGCAGATAGATGCTCAACCACGGAGCTTCCCAGGTGCCCCACCCTTTTGATAATTGATGTCACTAAATAACATCTTTATACATTGTATGCCCCCAAATATAAGCTAATAATTCTTTAAATGCATTAGTGTTTTAAATTGTCTACAAACAAAATTTGGAGTTACAAACCAAAGTTACAATAATAGTAGCTTGCACATTTTTAGGGTTTTTTTTAATGTATTATTTTTTAAAAATCATATTCAAAAGAAAAGTAGAATTACAAGCCATTGTTACAATAATACTAGCTTTCACAATTACTCATGTATTTACCATTATTGAGATCTTTATGTTTTCATATGGCTTTAAGGTTACAGTCTTCATTCTATCTTGCAGGACACACTCAAACATTTCTTGTAGGGCAAGATTAGTGGTCATATACATCCTCAACTCCTGTTTATCTGGGAATGTCTTAATTTCTCCCTTACATTTGAAGGACAGTTTTGCCAGATATAGGACTCTTAATTGACAGTTTTTTTTTCTTTTAGCAACTTGAATATATCAGCCCACTGCTTTCTAGCTTCCTAAGTTTCTGATGAGAAATCTGCCAAAAATCTTATTAAGAACATTCGTTTATATTAATTCTCTACTTTCTTGCTGCTTTCAAGATTCTCTTATTGTCTTTTGAAAGATTTATTATATTGATTCTCAGTGTCAATCTTTATGAGTTCATCCAACTCAAAGTTCACAGAGTTTCTTAGATGTTTATAAACATGTCTTACATTACATTTGGGAAGCTTTCAGCCATTATTTCTTTAAATATCCTCTCTACTCGTTTCTCTCTCCTCTGCCTGGGACTCCCACAACATGTATGTTGGTCCATTGGGCGATGTCCAATGAGTCTCTCAGGTTCTATTCACACTTCTTTGATCTTTTTTTCTTTCAGGTCCTCAAATTTAGTAATCTCCATTGTCCTATATTCAAGTTCAGATTCTTTCTTTTGCCTGCTGAAATCTGTCTAGAACTCTCTCTAGACAATTTTTCATTTCAGTCATTGAATTTGCAGCTCCAGAATTTATTTTCAGTTTCTTTTTAGGTTTTCGGTCTCTTCATCAATATTTTGTTCACACATTTTCTAGACTGTACCCATATCTTCCTTTAATTCTTTGAGCATCTTTTAGATAGCGTTGTCTGGTATACCTTCCACCAGGTCTAGTATACACAACACTGGTTTTGTTGTTGTTTGTTTGTTTGTTTTTAAGTAGGCCTGAGGCCAGCATAGAGTGCAATGCAGAGCTTCAACTTACGACCTGGAGATCAAGACCTGAGCTGAGATCAAGAGTTGGAAGCTTCACCAACTGAGACACCCAGGTGTCCTGCCATAGTTTGATTTATTTTATCTGTTTATTTATTTTCTTTCCTCTGAATGGGCCATAGTTTCCTGTTTCTTTGTGCACCTTTTGATTTTTTTTTTTTTTGGTTGTTATTCAACACGGAACACTGACTCTAACAATGTGGTATTCTGGAGATCAGATTCTCCCCTTCCCCCCAGGATTTGCTGAGTTTTATTGCTGTTTTTCTTTATTTTTGGTTCTTGAAGGTTTTCTTTGTGGCAAGGATCAACCTGAGGTGTAAATTTAAGGGTTTCTCAGGTCTTTTCTGAGCCTTTCATTGGGCAGGTATGGTCACTTTCTAATATTCCCCCTATGTATACTTGCTTTTTAAAAATTATTTTATAAAGTCCATTTTCTTAACATATCTTAGTTTAAGGGGTAGAATTTATATATTCATCCGTTGCATATAATACTTAGTACTCATTATATTAAGTGCCCTCTTTAATGCCCATCACCCAATTACCCTTTCCCCCCATGCACTACCCTCCAGCAACTTTCATCTTTTTTTAAAAAAGAGAACAGGCTGTCAGCTGTCTTCCTATTTACAAGTTTGGTGTCGTTCTTTGCGTAACAGGCCCCCTAATAAGTTACCTGCCAGTGTTGCCCCTAAGGCGGGAAGGCCGGGCTGATTCCTTGACGCAGGTGCCCTGTGTGTTAAGCCAGGTCGGGCCCTCATTGTCTGTCGGCAGACCTAGGGCTCCACCTGTCGTCATGGATGAGGCCAGGACGTTAACCACTTTGGGCATTGCACGAGGACTCAGGGACTGCACTTCCAAATAGCCTTTACCCTCTAGAGGCCTCAAAGTTCTTCCCTGTGCTCTTCTCCGAGGCCGGGACACTAAACCCACAGAGGAATCTGCTCAGCTTTGCTGCGCAGCCCACTGAGGAGGGGGCATTCCACGGTCCTTGGGGTCCTATGAATGACGTCGCAACCAGTTCGGGGCAGACGGGGTGACACCGGGAAAGAAGGGAAGGCCCCGGAGCCAGGCTCCTACCCAACCCTCGGAAACAGAGGTAGGACAGGAAAAGCGGGAACATGAACCTGGCTGCCTAGCTCCAAGCTGTTAGGGAGCAGCCCACTTGAATGGCTACTGGGCTCACGGAAACCCCAGATGTAGGAAAATACTACAGAGGAGACGTTGACCGGAGAAGAGGGAAGCCTCTGTGCTCCTGACGTTTATGAAGAACCATCGTGTGCAAGCCCGGCTGCTGCTTCCCAGCGGGATGTGGGGTTTACAAGCCGCCCCGCCGCTGGGAGGAAGGTGACTGAGCTCCAGACCAGTTCCCATGGAGACAGACCCCACAGGCCCCCGTGGCCATCCCATAGAGACAGACCCCACAGGCCCCCGCGGCCATCCCATGGAGACAGACCCCACAGGCCCCCGTGGCCATCCCACAGAGACAGACCCATAGGCCCTCGCCTCGGACCAGACCCACACCCGGTCACGGACAGACCCCACAGGCCCCGCGGCCATCCCACGGACACAGACCCCACAGGCCCCGCGGCCATCCCACGGACACAGACCCCACAGGCCCCGCGGCCATCCCACGGAGACAGACCCCACAGGCCCCGCGGCCATCCCACGGACACAGACCCCACAGGCCCCGCGGCCATCCCACGGAGACAGACCCCACAGGCCCCGCGGCCATCCCACGGAGACAGACCCCACAGGCCCCGCGGCCATCCCACGGACACAGACCCCACAGGCCCCGCGGCCATCCCATGGACACAGACCCCACAGGCCCCGCGGCCATCCCACGGAGACAGACCCCACAGGCCCCGCGGCCATCCCACGGAGACAGACCCCACAGGCCCCGCGGCCATCCCACGGACACAGACCCCACAGGCCCCGCGGCCATCCCACGGACACAGACCCCACAGGCCCCGCGGCCATCCCACGGAGACAGACCCCACAGGCCCCGCGGCCATCCCACGGAGACAGACCCCACAGGCCCCGCGGCCATCCCACGGACACAGACCCCACAGGCCCCGCGGCCATCCCACGGAGACAGACCCCACAGGCCCCGCGGCCATCCCACGGAGACAGACCCCACAGGCCCCGCGGCCATCCCACGGACACAGACCCCACAGGCCCCGCGGCCATCCCACGGAGACAGACCCCACAGGCCCCGCGGCCATCCCACGGAGACAGACCCCACAGGCCCCGCGGCCATCCCACGGAGACAGACCCCACAGGCCCCGCGGCCATCCCATGGACACAGACCCCACAGGCCCCGTGGCCATCCCACGGACACAGACCCCACAGGCCCGCGGCCATCCCACGGAGACAGACCCCACAGGCCCCGCGGCCATCCCACGGAGACAGACCCCACAGGCCCGCGGCCATCCACAGACACAGACCCCACAGGCCCCGCGGCCACCCTCCAGCCCGGCCCCCGGGAACTGCCTCTGTATCCCCGACCCGTCACTCTGGTCGCTCTGCTCACCGTCCGCCACAAGGTCCGCCTTCGGGCTCCAGGAGACGCGTGAGCCCAGAGCCAAGCCTTCCGGTGCCCCAGCTGCGGCTTCCAGGCTGCCGGAGGCCCCTTCCCTCCTGGCCCCGGAGAGCAGCGCGAGCCCTTCCCTCAGGGGGGCCTCAGGGGCTGCCATGAGCACACGGAGGTCGGCCGCTGCTCCTTGGTGACGAAGATGACCTCGGTGTGGTGATAACGGCTCTTCCTCCCGAGCACCGGCTGCCCGGGCCCAGGCCGACCCCAGACCAGGGGCCGCAGCCCGGCGCCCGTCCTCCAGGGCCTGCAGGGCCTGGCGTGCAGCGAGCCCCGTCACCTCTAGTACGGAAACCCGAGTGTCAGCCGGCGCCCCGTCTCCATACTGGGAACCCCCTGCTCCCAAGCCTCACCCGTCTCTTGAGTGCAAGGTATCGCCTTCGCCTTTCTGGGATTTTAAAGATTTTTTTTAAATTTTTTACTTATTCATGATAGAGAGAGAGAGAGAGAGAGAGAGAGAGAGGCAGAGACACAGGCAGAGGGAGAAGCAGGCTCCATGCAGGGAGCCCGACGCCGGACTCCATCCTGGGACCCCGGGGTCACGCTCTGGGCCGAAGGCAGACGCTCAACCCCTGAGCCACCCAGGTGTCCCTCCAAATTTCATTCTTGCATTTATATAATATTTAGCAGTAAAGAATTTAGACACTTTTATACTTTCTTATCAGAAAATCCATTAAATATGAACAAATTTTGCCAAAATTCTAACATAATTCATTGTTTCTTTTCAGACTCATTATTTGCAGGATTTTAAAACCAAGGAAAATGAAGCTCACTTTCTTCAAATCTACTTTTTTTCTTTTCTTTTCTTTTTTAGGATTTTATTTATTCATGAGAGACACAGAGAGGCAGAGACCCAGGCAGAGGGACAAGCAGGCTCCATGCAGGGAGCCCGACGTGAGACTCGATCCCAGGACCCCAGGGTCAGGACCTGAGCCAAAGGCAGGCGCTCAATCACTGAGCCATCCAGGTGTCCCCAAATCTTCTATTTTCATTCAGGTTGCTCCTCTTTCCCATTCTGGAGTAAACAAATACTTTATTTTAGACAAATGAATCTCTTTTCCTTCAGAAACCAAAGCACACCATGAGTGCACTGTCATATTTCTTTGCCACTATTGCTCTGAGCATGGTATCAGTCACCAGTATTGATTATCAGTGTTAACCAAAGTCATTAACTTCTATTTCACAGACAGGATTGGGGGATGGGGGCTGAGAACTGCCTGCCATCCTGCAACATTGAGCGATGTCACACACAGGGGCCTCTGAGCAATTGCTGAGGCCGAGCTGGGGGTGCATTGGTGTCCAGGGTCCAAAGCAAAGAAACTCAATAAAAAAACTCAATAAAACCATTGGTAGAAGAGGGAGGAAGCAGAATTGGGCAGATGGAGGAGTCTGTGGGACCAGAAGGGACATGGAGAGGGGCCCTGCATTGACTGAATACTGGGGGCCACATCCACCACAGTCAGTGAGGCTCACAAGCAGAAGAGAACCCCTAAAGTGTACCCATTGAAGTGGTAAAAATGGACCTATTTTAACATGGCCCAAAGGCGTCAGTGCTTGGTGGCATATAAAAATAAGAAGAAATGAATACTTAAAGATTAACTATTGATTAGCTTAATATTAATGCAAAGTCTTAAAGTTAATTAAGGACCTTGGAAATGATATATAAAAATAACATTCTACAGAACATAATTACTGTTGGTATAATAAAGCTTGTCAGATTCAATGAATTATGAATATATATTGAATGATATAGTTGAACTCAATTTTACATTTTTTAAATCTGAAACTTCATATGGAAGTAATATTAACATTGATCAAAATAAGAAGTACAGGAAGTTCAGATTATCTAATCTATTCAGGGTAAAACCAACTTAAATTTAGAAGAAAAAATAAAATGTACACTTGCATTATACTTCATATAGTTAAAATCAAGAACAAAGCATTTGAGCTGTTTGTTTTTATATGAGCTGTTTTTAAACCAAACTTATTAATGTAGTGATTACAAAGTGATTTGTTTAATCACTTTGATTATATTAACTTTGTTTCTTTTTTTTAAGATTTTATTTTTTTTATTCATGAGAGACACACAGAGAGAGGCAGAGACACAGGCAGAGGGAGAAGCGGGCTCCCTGCAGGGAGCCCGACAAGGGACTCGATCCCAGGACCCCGGGGTCACGCCCTGGGCCAAAGGCAGATGCCAAACCGCTGAGCCACCCAGGGATCCCTAACTTTGTTTCTTATAGAAAAAAAATGCTAAAAGTGGTAGAAGTTTTGGGGAGAAAGAGTTTCTCTTAAAAGGTTAGCACATTAAATAAAGTATCAGAAATTCAGTTTCTATATTTTCTGAGAATTCTGGGAACATTACATTTATATAAGCATTCTTAGTGGCTATAAACCAATTAGAACGTTTATTTATTGTGACAGACTTTATAATCTATTACTACACTCTTGATATAGATGATATTTCAGGTGCTTGGTGCGAGAGGTAAAGAGAAAAGGAGAAAAGTCTCGCCGGAGACATACAGCACAGAGCTCTTACAGCTTGCTTTCCACAACCCCAGCCCAGGTGAAGCGGGCACTGAAGGCACCCCTCACCTGATGCAGCCCTCACCTGACGCAGCCCTCACCTGGTGCACCTGATGCAGCCCTCACCTGATGCACCTGATGCAGCCCTCACCTGATGCAGCCCTCAGAGACTCCCTCTTCTTTTTAAGGGACCCAAAGCATCCTTTTGAGGCAGGTGGGCACACAGACGGAACACAGGCGAATAAGCCAGACTTTGTCACCTCCCGGCCGGTGCAAGTGGATTGCTCTGGCCCCAGGGGACAGGGGCCTCTTAACGGCCAACCGGGAAGCCGGCTCCCGGGCTCTGCTGCGGCCAGTGGGGAAGAAAGAGCCGGATCCTGGCCAAACCGGCGCCCAACCAAAGCTGGCCAAGAGCCAGAAACAAAAACAGGAACTCAGGGTGGGGAGGAAGAGAGAAGCAGTGGGTGAGTGAAGGGAACGACTGGTGGCATTTGGGACGTCCCCTGGGATGGGGCATCAGTCCCACGACCTTGAGGCCCCCCGCAGGAGGGGTCCCGTGGCTCTGCCGGGCATCCGCCGCATCGTGATGGGGCTGCCAGACTTGGATGGTCCAACTAATTTGTAGGAGAAAACACGTAACTTCCGTGCCAGTGTAGACTGAAGCCCGTCACAGATGCACTGGGCTCACTAGTTAGGGAAGCAGGAGCAGGGTAAGGCTGAAGCCCAAGTCGCTGTTCTGGAATGTGTTTCTGGGCTTTGCCGCACCCCTTGGTTCACTCGAGGAGAGCTCTGCTGCCCACCTGCCTCTGGGGCAGAGCCCGTGCACCCCGGCGGTCGTGGAGGCCTCCCCGCCCCCCCCACCCCCCCCGAGGCCGCGACGATGGTGACAAATCACCCTGTGACATATGACATATGACAACAGCATGCGGAAAGCAGCTGGCTGCTGCCTGGTCTCGGAGCGTGCAGCCCTCTGGGGGGTGCCTCCGGGCATGACGCTTCCTGGGGCACTGAGGCCACCGCTCCAGACTCGTGTGCCAGCTCCACGGGGGCTTCCGTCTCCCGGAGGACTATGACTGCCTTTTATTCAAAGTTTGTTGTATTGAATCAATGCAAAAAAAAAAATTTGTACGGCAAAATGTTACTAAAACTTTCACTCCCATCAAATGTTACGGTGGCCTACACCGACGTGCTCTGTGGCACAGTCATTTCCACCAATTACCAGTTTCTTTCAACATAGCTTATTCCAGAATAAATAATATCACAATATGCTCCTAGGCCGTGGTGAGATTATTTGACAACTGCATCTGCCCTGGCGAAGAGACCCACGGGTAAGCCCCATAGCTGGAATGTCCCACGAGACTTAGGCAACCACAGAACTGAGGGCTCCTCTTGCTGTCTTTCTCCTTTCCCAGGGTCTCTGGGCTGCTCAAGTTCTGTTCTCTGGTTCTCCACCAGCAAGGCTGCGGACTTTCTTTTAATATTTTTTATTTAATTATTTTGATTTATTTATGACGATCACACAGATAGAGAGAGAGAGGCAGAGACACAGGCAGAGGGAGAAGCAGGCTCCATGCACCGGGAGCCTGACGTGGGATTCGATCCCGGGTCTCCAGGATTGCGCCCTGGGCCAAAGGCAGGCGCCAAACCGCTGCGCCACCCAGGGATCCCGGCTGCGGACTTTCGATGCAAATGCCTGCTATCCCTGCCCGGGACCCGGCTGGCCTTTAGGCTGAGAGCCACAGGAAACAAGAATTTGCGTCCTCCCTCTTCTAAATACAGACTCTGCCCGGGGTCGATCTGCGCTGGGGGCCATCTTGTGCCTCCTCGAAGCTGCTTATATATTGTCTTGAGTTTATGGCTGAGGGTGGTTGGTCTGTGAGGAGCCACTACCATCCCCGGGAGCACCTCCTACAGATGGCACTTGGAAAGCTGAGCTGTTCACCCTAAGAAGTCCCCTTCTGCTGTGTTAGGGGGAATGTCTCCACTAAAGCTCCAAGGATAAAAATATTTATTCCATTTTTTTTCTATATATTTATCTCATGTGCTGGTGTCTTAACTCAGCACCCTGACTCTCTCCCTTTTCCTTCCTGCTTGGTTCCCTTCTGTTCCCTGTCTCCTCTCCCCTCCCCATGGATCTCATGTTAGATAGTGCTCCGCACCTTACAGATACTTCAACTCAAATAATCTTTATTTGGTTTTTTAAATTTCTCTGGAAAACCCAGGTGAACTATACTATGACCACGTTACAGATGCGGACACAGAGTCTGCAGCCAGGCCGGGACACAGGGTGAAACACCAGGACTGGCACACCGGCCCTCAGGGGGCTCTTGGGTCCCTGGAGGTGGTAGCTGGTGCTGAGAGCCGATGATCAAAGGCAGTTTCTGGGTCTATAGCAGAAGTTTAAACTACATTTTATTAAAATGCAGAGACTTAAAAAAAATAAAATGCAGAGACTTTCAGAAAATTAATAAATTGTTTGGATTTTTATTTTTTAAAGATTTTATTTATTTATTCATGAGAGAGAGAGAGAGAGAGAGAGAGAGAGAGAGAGAGAGAGGCAGAGACACTGGCAGAGGGAGAAGCAGGCTCCCTGCTGGGATCCCGACGCAGGACTCCATCCCGGGACCCTGGGGTCACGCCCTGGGCTGGAGGCAGATGCT